TAACCAATTGGCCCCTTATAAGCAAACGGCTCTTTGTAAGCAATCGGTCCCTTATATACAACATCTTTGTATAAAAGTTTAGGCTCTTTATAAGTAACAATTGGTTCACTGTAAGCATGTCCGGGCTCACTGTAGCCGTAGCCAGACTTAGGCCCATATCCTGGCTCACTGTAGCCATAGCCAGACTTAGGGCCATATCCCGGCTCACTGTAGCCATAGCCAGATTTGGGGCCATATCCCGGCTCAATGTATCCATAGCCAGACTTTGGGCCATATCCGGGCTCATTGTAGGCATAACCAGACTTGTGCCCATACTGTGGCTCAACAATCACTTTGGTGTCCAATAGTCGGACACCCGAAGTGACCGATACATAGCAGACAATGATAAGTGAAATCTAAGATAAAATTTTTTAATATTTTTATTACTCATACAAAAAAGTTGCGACAAATGAATATAAAGAATAACTTTCTCACCAAAAACTTCATTTTGATTGTCACTTATTATTGAATTGAATTTAAAAACACTAAACTTTATAATCAGATTACGGCCTTTATATAGACTTTTTTCTCAGTAAAAACATTTTAATTATATCCAGAGTTATCGATCAGATTTAATGAATGTGTTGCTGGCATTAAATCCACTTTTATAAAAGTAAAGCAGTTATAATCAACCAATAATTTTACTTTCTTTGTTATTACATACACTTAACTCAAAGCAATGGCATTGAGGACTATATTTTTTTGCGAGAAAATAAACAAAATCTTTTTGAATACTTCAATAATATATCGTTTAAGAGAACTTCTGTTGCCTCTAATGTTGAAAGAACTCATTTAAATGATTTTATAAGCAATTCTAAGGTTGTATTTATAATATAGTTTTAATGCACAAACTTTTAACTTAATATTTTTACACCATTTTTGAGATTAAATTAAGAAAAATAATTTTTCAATTGATTGCAAAACATTAATATATTATTGAAAAATTAAATTATGCTAAAAATCTTATAAATGAATATTAATATTGAAATTCAATATTTTGTAAATGTAAAATAGGGTATAGTTTAATAAACACTGTCTAAACTATTTAAATATTGTTATATTTTATCCGTGTTTTACAAACCACCACACATTACAATATTAACAGTAAATGTACTAACATTTAATCATTACATTTATTTCACAACAATCAGTAAATTATGAAATATAATAACCATTTAGTATTTATCTGTTAAATAAGAGACTATATTAAAAATTAACAAAAAATTATGGGTTGTATTGGATTTAAATCGAGGTTAATATCCAAAAATGTGTTTTTATTTTCGTTACATTAACTTTATTATGGATAGTATTTTAATTTGAATTGACATTAATTTTGGTTTTTTAACAATTCTATTGATTTAATTACTGAAGAATACCTATTTAAAAACAATGAGAAAATATAAAACTAATAATAATTTGTGTTTTATTTTTGTCGGTAAAGAAATTTTTTTAATATTATGTTTAATTTTTATCTATTAATTTATTAAATCGTTATATTTTTTCGCAACAGTAATACTTATTTGTATTAATTTAATTGAAGGTAAATCTAAAAAATATAAAACATTTTATTCAAATGAAGTCATATTTAAATAAAAATAATAACAAAAGCAATTGATTTTCTTATAAATCGGAAGCAATACAAGTGAAACGATTTTCACTTTACGACAATTGTGTTGCGAACAGCCTATCGGTTGATGGCATCACACAAGACCTGGATTACTGTGTCGACAATCTGACCTGTTTCAATCTGAACTGCGGTCCGCACTTTTTACCATACAGAATATACCTGAAAAATGAGATCAACCCTATTCTCACTATTTGCGAAGTAAAACTCGTTAAAGTCCTCTATCCGGAAGGTATCGCCGACTTTATCGCATTTTTATTGCTTATTGTTTAACACCATTTGTTGTGTGTCTGAACGCCAATAGGATGTCAGGTGACGGTCCGGTTGGGGAAAGTAATCGCCGGCTTTCAGCCATTAATTGGTATGTATTTCGCGGAATCGCAAATCATTTCCAAATCAACATTCGCTGAATGCGAAGACATGGATGGACTCAAACAGACATCGGGTCTCCAAATGCTGGCTTTTGGCGGATATATTAATCAGACGTGTTTGTCGTCGGAAATTAACCCTGATACTGTGCCCTATATTATTGGCGACCGACAGGTATTTTGTTTGGGCGATCAGACAACTAAATACAACAAATCACTCACTCATCCTCAAACATTTGGTTGCAATTTTTATCACAAGTTTTGAAATTTATTAAGTTTTTATTTAAATTTATACTTATTTTATATTTTGCTATTAGGAGATGATCTATCAAGCGCTCAAACACGTACGTAACTTATAATTCAGCATAAATATTATAAAATAATTAATTGAGATCATAATTCGTAAGTGACAACTGTTCACAAGACCGAAGACCTGGATTACTGTATGTGTCTATTCAACGGGAGTTCGCAAATTAAATCGCTTTCATTAGACATCGGATATATGAAACTATTGTCCTGCGATTCAGACTTCATTGAAGTGCCAGAAATACTTAACTACACCGCCGTTGTAGCCGACAATTCAAACCCCGTGACAATAACTGTGCAAGTTATATACCAAAATAGGCTTAACATGTTTGGTTAGATAACATATTTTTTTAAAACGTGATTATATTCAATCTAATTTGTTTTTTAATTTTAAAATAGGTCTAAACGTACTGTTATTTATTGGACGCGTAATCGGAAGCAAACAAATGTCTAATCAATATGTGGTCTCCGTATCGATATTCACGCCCACAGAACGGATCAAATGTCTGACAGAACCACATCTGGAATCAATAGAGGGCTCAACGAAGACAATGATAACTGATTTGTTGACAATTAAACAATACATACGAAAGCTTCGTCTACTGAGGAGTATATCGGATGTGTTCGCAAACTTTCCGATTATTACTCTGTGCTGCGGATCAACCGCTTATAACTATACGCCCGGCCTTTCAGACGGCACTATCATATGTCCCACATGTTAAGCGTGTTATTAATATTTTAATTTATTTATTTAATTTATCCTATTTATTAAATATTATTAGTAAAATAAATTAATACCGTTTCAATAACTAGCATTACATACATTATTTTTGTAATTATTTAGTATAATTACCTTTTTATATCTCAATCTACGAACAAGATAGGTTTCTCATCCGATACATATTATATATCATGATTCATGAATACAGTATACAGTATATCTGATTCCCGTTCGCTATCACCTCGTTGGATCTGAAGGAAGACAAATAAATGCACAATTTACATACTACTGTATTTGTAATTTATAATGAAGAACAATATACTTTTCAAAAGATAATTAGTTAGTAACTTATATTAAAAATAACTGTTTTAATGTCTATATAGATTATTTTAAAATCTAATTAACATTTTAGTTAATTTAAATGTGTTTAATATTTTAACCCTAGTTTTGCAATTATAACTCATTGAAAATGATGGATAAAAACGACAGAACTTATATCAATAGTAAAGAGTGAGTGATTGATATCATATACAGTATAAATGATTTCTTATATAGTATTTGAGGATTTAAAATGGTATTACAGCGATATTCTTGAGATATAAATAGCATTACTTTAATATTAAGCTCAATGAAGTATTTTATAAATTGAGTCATGTTTCAAAAGTTGAGAAAACAAACTTGTAGAAATTAAACTGAACAACATGTAATATGTAAGTTTTTTTGTATACATTCTTGTCGTTAAACTTACAGTTATTAACTAAATTATAAGATTATTATTTTTAAAATTAAACTAGACATATGTTTAGGTAACTTTGTAACAAAATGTGATCAAACAATTGATATATTTTTATATAATTGTTAAACAGTAACTATATTTATAACAGTATTAATTAATATTTGAGATGAGAATAATAATTATCAACAATTATTGTTGATAATGTGATCACTTGACTCGTATTTGTCCTAGAAAGTTGATATAATCCCAAATTCAATACATTTTTTCAACGTTCACCCAATTGACAATAATTACAACATTAAATTCAATTTAATTTATTACAACTAAACACGATATTAATATTGATTCAGCGATTGGTATACAAACAATAAAATGTTATTTATTGTATTAATACAACTAGATACAAAAATTATTAGAAATAATTTAACGATAGTATATTGTATCAATATATACTTGTAGATGACTTTAATCATTTTGACTGTAAGTTATGATTTCAAAGAGTTTACAGTGTTATTCAAATAAGCTAACAAGGTATGTCAAACTGGGTATGTTTAGTATTGTATAATACCAAACAATTTAAACATTAAAGTATAAACATGTCATATTATTTTGAAGATATCATTGATTATTGATAATAATAATAATAATGATTTTTTTTTCAGTGAACTTGTCGTTGAAAATACAATGATTGTTATAAATAGTCATTCAATAAATTAAGTACAATTTTATAATTGGTTTCATTTCTTACATGTATTAAAAAATTTTATATTGAATTAGTAAATCATAATAACTTATTATTATTTACTGTTAATTTAATTCGCTTAATTAAGCATACAGTATATTTAACTCCACTTTATTTATTAATTTCAATCATAGGTTTTATTGTCGTTTTCTCTTAAGAAGAATGAAAAAAATTAAATTCATAATAATTATAATAATTGTTTGTTTACTTGTAATGTTCATCAAATTGTATACAAAACATCACAATTACATAAATTATATGAAAACAAATAAAACATTTAAGATATTGTTGTGGACCACATATTTCGACAATCACTGGACAATCGGCGATAATCTTAATTGCAATTACAATAATTGTTTGGCAACTAATCGTCGAGAATATTACAACACAAGTGATGCCATACTCTTTCACTGGAGAGATATCGACATTAGAGACAACCCGAGTACTAAATTACAGCACCAAAAATGGGTGTTATTTAACCAAGAATCTCCTATATATACACACATGAAATATCCCCACAGAATATATCATATTGGTATTTTTGACTCAATTGATTGGACAATGTCTTATCGGACCGATTCCGATGTCTATACGCCATATAGTTTGGTACAGAGATGTGAGAGACAGTGGAAACCGAGCTATGAATTTAAAAACAAAACCAAATACATCGCTTGGATTGTCAGTCACTGCAGCACTTCATCCAAACGTGAATTATTTGTTAAACAATTGGAAAGATATCTAGACGTCGATATATACGGCGATTGTGGTCCCCATAAGTGTTCACGTGTTGATCATTCGTGCTTTAAATCAATTGAACAAAACTACAAATTTTATCTATCATTTGAGAATTCAGTAAGACTTAAAATTTTATCATTTCTTAATTTAAACCAAAATAATTAAACTAATTAATTGCTCATTAATTGATGCTATCATTTCACTGTATATTATTAGCTCTGCAAAGACTATGTGACAGAAAAGTTATTTAATGCCATGCAATACGATATAATTCCGGTCAGTATTTACTTCTTACACTATATTATTATTATAAAACTGTTATTTTAATAATTATTGTAAATAATTAATTATTATATTGTTAAACATGTAGATTGTATTTGGTTCGGCTAACTATACGGCAATATTGCCCCCAAACTCATACATAGATGCCCTTCAATTCCCAACTGTACCGACACTTGTCGATCATTTGATGGAAGTGTCCAGCAATGAGATACTTTATAAGTCATATTTTCAATGGAAAAACAATTTCTGTGTTAATTCAATACACTATTTGTGTTCACTTTGTAAACATCTCAATGAGAATGCATTACAAACGGGAGTCATTACAACAAATAGGGATATTATAAAGTGGTGGGTCAGGGATGCCAAATGCAAAACCATTAAGGTTAATTAAATATTTAAACTTATAATTAATTGTTATGTTAGGTAAAACATTATTTAAAAATTAAGTAATCATTTAATATAAACCAACACAATATTAACACATGATTAAATAGATGTGAACATGATTATTTGCTTGTTTTTAATTGAGACATACAAGTTAGTATGTAAACATGATAAACAAATGCAAGCTATTTTTGTCATTTGCATTTATAAAACTATTTTTGTATCATTTATTTGGAAAGAATTTCATTAAGTTTTGTAAATTCTGTAATAATTTATGAATTAAATGTATTAATTGACATAAAAGTCGAAAACAAACAATTGGTTTACAGTATGTGAAAGTATATCGTCCGGCGCCACCGATATCTCAATAAATGTTATCAAAATAATTGTCACTAAAATATGACAGATATATGCTGTAAATGCCCTCAAAGTATTACCATTTAAAATGTTTAGATATAATTTTATATTTATATTTTATAACAATTAGAACAAATTATAGTTAAAATTAAATTATAAAGCTTTATATAAACCTATAAAAGGGTTACCATTTCTAAAAGTTTATCAATTAATTGGCATTTAATTTATTGCTTAAGTCTTAACTTAAGACCAAACATTAGTACATAAATCTATTACTCAATAAACATTTACATTCAGTGATAAACATACAACAAATACAAAGCTTTCTTTCATTAATACTTCAAATGAATTTAAACACAAGAAATTAAACTGAATTTTATAGGCTTTGACGAGATATTGATATAAAAACATCAATACATTCAATATGTTTTATCATTCATTTCACGCTAAGCTCTCACTTCATATAATCATTTGATCCAATTTTTATGCCATAAATGAGTTTGAAAAATAGTTACCAAGATATTAGCAAATAAATGAAAAACAAATTTATATTCATTATTTATTTCTTTGTATTTTTCTAATTGA